GACGTTCATCATAACTGCCGTTGTTTGTGTACCGTTTACATTAATGTGTGCACAAGTAGTTCCTTACCCACTTGTTTACTAGTTCCTTGTATTCGGTTCTTTCCTTGGGCGTATCGCCTCGCCTTCCCACATGAGCCGAGCTGAGCTGAAACTCACTGTTATAGTATTGATTGGAGCATAGATTAGATATTATCTGTGCTTGTGTCATATTTGCATTTCGTCTGAAAGGTCGGCACACCAAATCAAGCTCAAGGCTGCTTATGAATTATATACGACAATGACAGGATACAGATATCGTCTAGTGACAGAACTTCGTGGGTGGCCACTATCATACAATTATAGTTTTTTTTACTTTAATTGTTATATAATTAAATGGAATACAAAAGTCTACATAAGTCAACAGTCAAATATCATATAAGAGGAATAAGGCGTGCTTACTGGCGCATGTCGTTGCCAGGAACACGTCTGCTAAGAAGGCTATAAAGTTTGTCACATCAATGTAGGTAACATTCTGTAAAAGGTTTATAAGTCGTCCTAATCTTTCATATTAACGAATTCCGATAGCGTTCTCAGGTCAATGTGACCGTGACACTCACCACCCAGAGATTAACAACTCGCGAACCTTGGACCCGCTTTTTGTTTAGGCTCCGTTCTATTATTTGGCAAGTAAAACTTAAATCAGTTAGTACATCTATCTAGCTAGGGTCAGTAGATATTACGTCACACTCAGTAAGAACGCATCACATAGCAACCATTTGACTCGATACAACTCGGCCTACACAACCCTACTTATTGCGCCAACTATATACATGAGTGCCTTCCGTAATGGATAACGTTTTGAGTCTTGTAGGGGCCGAAACGCTCGTGAGATCGTTCTGCCTACACTTATAATGAATATGACGAAGGAGAGTGACGAACATAAACCTTCATGAGGAAAAAGTTCTAATTTAATTTTATACTTTAGATAGCCTATAGCGACCGGTCATAAGCATACGATGATACGTGCTTGTATTGCTACGACATGCTTATTTTGGCTTCATTCACACCAGCATCGTTTCTAAGATCTAGAATATTAGTTCGTTCTATAGGTAAACATGTCAGTTGTTAAGACATGTTTGCCTATAGAAGAATTCTGAAAGAAAGAGTCATCTAAAAAGTTTTTACAACAATGCTTCAAAAATCTATTATGGCAAACCTACAACTAACTCTCTATAGCATCGCTGCCCGTCTTATTCATGGGAGCAAGCGCGACTTCTGTTGTCTGTCCGTTTTGTCCATACGTATTCCTACAATCCGGAGCCCCTAAGGCAAGGTCAAGCTCCGATTGGGTAAAGTCGCATAACAATCTCGATTCCTCTTTCGTCCCTTATAACACGCCAGCATTATAATAGTCTTTTGTGAACCCATCAGACCCGCTGGGTTAGAACGGAAACCCGAGTTGGTAACCTATAGGTAAGGAAAATTGTTTATTGTTTAATTTGTATTATGCTCGCCATTTGTGAAGGCTTTTATTAAATATTTCGCAATAACTTCGCCAGCCAGCAACTTACTTTGTGCTCTTTCTTAGTCCTGCATCTGATTTTGACATAAGTGTATAGGGGTAGCTGGCTGAAACTGGCCCGCGATACCGTGTTTCGCGGGATGACGACCAAGTGAGATTTTTCGGAAACATAGTGACGTTTATAAGTCACTATAGTGCTGTCACCATGCACTAGCGTCCTTAACCAACTTCCCGTATCCTCTATTGGCACAATTCTCGTATAGAGAATGTTTTGCATTCATGTTACCTACCATTATGGATGTTCTGAGTAGCCTCTTTTAAATCCGCGTTTACAAAATCTATTCAGATATTAGTAACTGTTGGCCCCATATCCTGCTCTCTGCACTATCCCTCACACTCGTGCTGTCATTCCGGAGGCGCGGATTGGGATATGAATTGCTTTAATTTAGTACCCGTTGTTATCCAAATAAAAGTTTCAAGCCTTAGGTCTGTTAGTGATTGCTTCGAACCGCTGGCACAGCACGAAATGAACGGTGCCTACGTTCGGTTTCAAGCCTGCAGTATCCCATATGTACGTAAGTTTATTAGGCAAACACATAACTATATGGCTGTTACGGGGACATCAGCTCTAACCACAGCATGAGCGCTCCTGGCGAACGTTAACCATTCAGGTCACACGTTATCTTCTGCTGTTCATTTGAAAGTACGCTTAAGCATTGATCCTAAGTGTATATTCTGGAATACTTCAGGGCCGGGCACCTTCACCATTTTGGAAGATTTCGCAGGCTCAGTACTGAAAGGATGAAGTTGCCTGCAGTTTGTATATTTAATCTTTGGGCTATTGCCCTTATTATATGACCCTTTATCTCACAATGATATTATATAGCTTGTAACCTCTGCCCTTGCGGTTGGTATCCTTTGAGATTCTGTTTCAGACTAATGAATTACGACATTATAGTTGTTAGTTTTTGTGTTTTTAAGGTGACTGGAAAGAAACTCAGACGTATTTCAATGTTGTTATATGCTTGTCGTTAGAAACAAATGCCACGTGTTTCGCTTTTTCCAGTCGAGCTATTTTCATCTATATCTCTTGATAAAGGGCGATAACTCCTGACCACTTCATACACAACCTTCAGTAACTTCGGTAATCCGTACATGCGAATTCCATCGCTAGGTGCACCTAAATCTCGATCTGGCTCTTAACAGTCATGCGCCTATGAGTGCGTTCGTTCATTCTGCTTATATCTATTATATAGATCCACAGAGCTAGTACACATTGAAGATCGTCATTTAGCTTGGACTTGTTAACACCAACGGTTTTCAGCTCTGCATTCGATTCCTATACCCCTCTGACCGCTTCGTGAATTTGTTCGCGAAGAAAAAAACTGTATGATATGTATTTCAAGCTATCGCTGTGCTTGTCCTTTCATTTATTCTTGGTTTTAGCCTCTGTTTCTGTCTGGTCCCTAGGCCAGCGTGGATGACCTAATTATCTAGGGAATTTAAATAGACTGTGCTGTTTGCAACGCGGTTCTAATTCTAAGGTAGGCTCAAAATTATATTTGTTGCTCAGCAAAATAGCTGCGAACAGTAACGTCGTAGTCGATCAACCAGTTGAGTATTTCGAGCCAGACCTCGAGTGTCATGCAACAACAGCCTTTAGAACGTGAAATCACTGAGCAGTTTTGATTAAATTATTTAATTAAGATTAATTAATATATGAAATCTTCGTGATTCATTATTATGCCGGAGAAGGTTACACGTTTCACTTAACTATAGAAACCCAAACCTAACTCTTACTAATAAATGCACTCTTAAAAGATCTTTTCTCTGTGTCTGCACACTTTGGGCGCCTTTCACCTTACCTAGTTCTTTCTTGTCTGCTAGCATTTTTAAGAATCTTCTGAAATGTATCTTTTTGTACATCTGAACGTGTTGACATTGCTTGATTTCCTATTATGTTTATAAGATCATCATCAGTTGGACGGAGCAGAATCTGCTGGAACACTTTTGGCCGGTAAAATTCCTGGGAAGTGTCTTCCAGTTGGTTAAGTTATTAGAATTATATGAGGAGAGCAACATGGTTTATACGCGAACCATTCCCAAACTTCTGATTTGTAAATCTGCTCAGATCATTCGGTCTAGTTAGTAGCAACTGTATATTCCTCAAGCCTTTAGTGACTGTGCTTAAAAGCTATATCGTTATGCCACAGTTTAGAGGCAGCGACGCGTATTTGATATGATCTGTTAGTCACTATCAATAAAATACCGATTATAACCAGAATTTAATTCTTTCTTCTAGTCTGGGTAGCCACGTTCTGGCTACTGATATGAGGAGGAACTGATTCATCTTCGAATCTATCAGTCACTTCACATCACACTATTTATGGCATCGTGTGAAGAGTAAAAGTATTTTCAAATCCAGAACAGAATCCGAAGTTGCTTTTACTTGTTAGCTTGATGTGCAAGTGGTGTGGTACGCTTTGCCAGACCACCTCCAATAAAATGACCTTCTTCATTCTTTAGCTGAAAGGGCGGTCAGTAAAAACAGTGTTATTCAAAGACTAAATTGCAGTTACTATGAATCGTTCGTATTTGTTTCTTCTATCAAGGAATGGCATTCTCGTCATTATTTCTCAACCGAGTGCGAGTGGAAATTAAAGGCTTACCACGAAGATCGTACTAAGTGATTAGTCGAAATTCTTCAAACGGTCTGGAATCACTACATGCTTTCGATTGTCGTAGTCAGTTCCATTTACTCACAGCCGTATTCGTAGAGAGTCAAATTTAGTAGGTTAGGCTAGGTTAGGTTAGGTTAGGTTAGGTTAGGTATTTAGCTAATTGAAGTAATCTGCGGCGTAGAGCTCTGGAACAGAATTTGTCCAACGATAAAGTGTCCAATTAGCTCGAATTATATCGAACAGAATTAATCTAATGAGAATTATAAATGTTGTCACTTCGCAGTTAATTCTTCATACGTTTAGAAATTTTTTTTTGCGACACTCGAAGTGTTGTCGTTATTGCGCGGCGTTCGATGGCCCCATCGGGTAGATACTTTAAAGCGGTGATAATAATTGATATCAAATCGTGTTCTACGACAGCTTACCTTGCCCATTTTCCACCACAAAAAAATGGAACTCCTATTGAGCTCGTAGCTTTAGTGTTACTTTGCCGATGCTGATTCTCTAGTTCAAATTCGATACGTTCATCGAAAGGCATGGTTACCGCTTCATTCGACAGGTGTCATATACATTTGACGCATGTTACATAAAAGAATTAACTTTGTGTGAGGAACCATATGCCATTTGGCCTTCGGTGTTAACATGCTTGCTTTTGTCCAAAAAGCGGTGGACAAAGTTTTACCTCACCGATGACACGTTGGCTCCGCGTAGTAAGTTTTCATTCAATTATCTTTATTGTTAGTCATCATACTCTTAGCTGATATGTGACGTAAATATGTTATAACAACGCAGTGAACTGGTATAGTGTTGTTTTAAGCATGGCAACCTCAGCTGGATAAGGATAGGCCTCATCAATACGCCTTCCGGGCTCAAATGGTACTGTGCCTTTTCGGCATTTTTAATAAGGTATCCGCATATTCCATTTTCAAGTAAAATCAGTAGCCTGCATACACTGAAATTTTAGATTGACAAGACTCGATAGCCACAGGCATCCTGTATTTCGGCATCGTAGTAGATAAGTAACCTATAAAATTGCATTCCGTAGAGTTACAGAATTCTGTTAAAAGACAAAGTTTTATAATATGATACGCATGAATTGTGCGAAATAACGTTCGATTGCCCGAGTACAAATGTCGAGTCTTCGGCTGTGGATTGTCACTCTAGATCTTGCTATTTCAACCTCAGTGGACGCCATCAAACTGTGAGCTATTAAATAGAAGTAGCCCACATTACAGTTAATTATGAAGCCCTCGTTTTTTAGGTTGGAAATTGAAAAGAATACTTACGATTTTTTTTTTTTTTTTTTCGTTTTTATCTTGTTGAGGCGCGCTAAATAAAGAGAACACTCACTTTTGATAAAACGCTCCCTTTGATCAAGCGGCTATTCGGGTCTGTCAGTGCTTAATAGTTACTGGACAATGACATATAGTATTGAAGGATATGGTCGAAAGTAAGTGCAAGTATGCGTCGCCGAATCGTATGTGAGTCATAAATTGTTAACCTGTAAGTTTTAGAGTAGCATCTTGTCAAAAAGGACGCACAGAAACTCATTATATATATATTGTGTGTATTGAATCATATGATGTGCTGCTATGACGATATACTGATGGGATAGTCTGTGTATTATGTTTGTGGGACTGGACTATTGAGTAATTGAAGAGTACTGTTTTCCTCAAAAACAACCAAGCTACAGATTTTAAGTGTTCTTTATTTCCCATTTCTCAATGACCTGCGGAAGTAGGATAGGATGGAGTTTGCACACCAGGATGCCCCTGAAACATTAAAGATAGCACATGGCGACCCTTGCTGCCTTACCATGTTTGCCGTGTTATATGCTTCTTTAGTGCAAAATTTTCCTAGGCAGGAGCACATAGACAGTGAAGAGCCCCACATAAATAATAATTTAGAGGAGCAAAGGCAAGGAGAAGCTCGACCTTGAGTCTGGACCAAGAGTTTTGCTCTTTTGGGGCTACCGTGTAGCGGCTATACTGAATAGAACATTAGGTCATCGGAGTCGTGAAAAACAGAAACAAATATAGTTGCGTTTTTACTGTATCAAAGAAATATCGACAGAACTTCTGTCTTTTACAGAAGAGATCCACGTATCGCTTATGTCGGTCTACTCACTTGCTTATCTCCTATTCACACATTGTATCTTAATGCAACAAAACGTTCGCTTAGCAGTTTGCGAACGCTTTAAGCAAGTGCTTTTCGGTCATGGTTCGTTTCTTTAAAGATGAAAAAATGGAGCACTAAAGATACAACGTACAGGTGGTGCTAAGGCTGCATAAACATTTTGGGAAGCAGGATGCAAGTTGAAACAGACCAGACGCAATGTCACATCTGCCTGAATATTGCTTCAAAAGCGAAAGCCGCAGGATGCTGATCAAGAACTGTTCAATAAAATAGACTATTACTAAATGTTATCAAATAGTTTCACCTTTCCAAGGTCAATCGCGCGACACCAAAACGAGAGACAGGTTCCGGCATATGAAACCTCTTTTATTTACAATTGGGTACCCTACGTGACGAAACATTTTAAAATGGCTGACAAGCACCGTAATGTAAAAAACTGATATTGCATATCAGCGTATTCTAATGAACCTAGCATGTGATTATTTACGTACTCGAAGAAGATAGGCTCGTCTCGTATATCCTCCAAAGCAAGTCTAAAAGACCGTAGACTGACTACCGGAAATTACGCTTTGCTATTGACTCGAGGGCTGTGTTCGAGGGCAGGGCAGAAAACCTGTCAAGAAGGATCGCTTGAGTATTCGATTGAAACTAGTTCGTTTTCCTTGGACAAAAAAAGTCGGAAAGTTGGACCGTTGAAAACTGGGGAAGAAGTCTGTTTCTCAGACGAATCTTATATTGATATTCACGAATGAAACACCCATCATGTCTTCCGGCGTATCGGCGATTTTCCGAAAGCCGCGTCATGATGAAAATTAAGCATACATTTTAAGTATTATTCGTCTATTTTGTGGCAAAACCATTGGCGCGATACATTTTGCAAAGGGAACAGTAGGACAGCAGAAATTATCGAGAACAGGATATTGCCCTATGTACGGAAGCAGTTCCCTGGTAGTGACTATGTCTTCATGGACGGACAATGGAGTCCCTTGTCACAAAGCTTCGAATATCTTTGGGCTACTCGTTGTTAAGGACGTTGAAGTGCTGTTGTGGCCTGCTAAATCGACAGATCATAATCTCACAGAGAGCACCTCAAAGCTCACGGGTTCGTAAAGGGCAGTAAGAACTACTGTTTCGGGTCTCCGAGGAAAAACTATTATATAGTTCCAGTCATCGCCCCAAAGAGTGGCGGCAGTTACGGTGCTGTAAGTCTCGGAATTATACCACATCGTTTGTTAGTAGTTTGAACATTTTTCTGATGTTTGATCGACTTGTAAGGCACCGGAAGCACATTAATGCCGCTTTTATGAGACAAAAATAGAAAAAAAAAATATCTTGCTCTGTATAGCGTAATTGATTTTGTTGAAACTGTTGAATTTGAGTTTATTTGATTCAGTATCGCTGAGGAAGACTATTTTTGGGACAACTACGGTCGACACTTCGAAATTGGTATTCCTATTTCCTATACACAATAATAGAATTACAACATTCACCTACATCCACTTATTTAGCTATAATTTGGTTACTATAGCTACATGTAATTACATAGATACGACGACGATGGATAAAATAAGCGGTCTTTGAAGGCTTGTTATCAATTGTTTCCCACGGCGAACAATCTATGCCAATAAATTGCTACAAAATCGCTAATAAAAACCGTTTTTGTCGCAGGCACAATTACATGTCAATGTTTCTTTATCTACAATGGCTACAATTTGACCGCTAACAGAACATAAGTAACCTCAAGTAATGACTTTAACAAAGATAGATCTGAAGTTGAAGGATTTATACGGACTATAAACAGCAATAAGGATTTGGGTTGATCATGTCAGTGATGTCCTTATTTAAAATTCGTTTCCACAGATCTGCATATTTAGTTAGTCCATTTGTGGCTATTCATTCCTTTTGTATTGAATAATATTAGCGAATTTCTCAATACAAGATCTAATGCAAAGCTAATATCTGGGCTTCTCAGGTAAAAGGTAGCGGTCCACAACAATGGACAGTGTATCTACAAGGAAGTAGACTCTTTGTTTTGTGATTTTGGTTAATGAATATTGGTAGTACGAGGTGAATTGAAAACTTCGGGGAAGCGTTGGAACAGGTAAACTATTTGAATGTTCGTTGTTCGTTAACCAATAGCCTACTTTTTTTCTTTACTCATTACTGCAAACGGCCTAGTTAGAACAGAACGTTTATCCTTTTCTGGTCATTAACGAAATATTAAAAATACGGTGTCGCAAATACATCAATCATGTAGGCAAAATTAGATTTTGTTTCACCAAAATCGGATTTCGCAAAAATTCGAAATTGGTTCAGCAAGTTACTAGTTTGGATGCCGTTTTAAACTGATGCGGCTCGTCCGGCCAAAAGTCGCTAGCCGGAATGACGCTTACTGTTACTTGACTGGCCATATATATATTGAACTTAATCTATTGAGCCGATATTACAGCCCTAGTTGATTTTCTAGTGCACCTCTTCTTGATTGTTTGTGGCATAAGTACGTCGACACAACGAGCAAAAGCGCCTGGCTAGCTCCTCGTTGAAGAAGCTTGCCAACAAGAAAATCTGTCTTGCATACAATATTTTCTATGGGATTCAGCTTGTGTTCAATATACCAGTCTTATTACTGATAGAGTGCAGCTACTCAAAAAGTAAATACGTGTACCGAGGAGCAGAAAAGAAACATTGCGGATTTGTAGTACTATCTTTGCGGTAGAAACTTTGGATTAGCAGGACAAGGATAAGGTGAATTAGCAGACGTTCGAAGCATTGAACAGACTTTTCACTACAGAACAGCGCTTAAACTCTAACCCTTTTTTTACGGTGGACATTCAATTACTGTAGTATAGATAGGGGTTATAAACACGAGATCCCAAACTTTTCCTTTCCGCAGTTTCGTATGACTAGTAAGAAACATTAGCCTGGTTCGCTGCAAGCAAGAAAATCCATAGCCTTTGTACAAATACAGACGTAAATAAGTCGTATACCAAACATTAATCACAGGCATTGTATATCGCTTTTTATTCGTAGAATTTGATATTAATGAGGTTATTTGTTTTTTTTTTTGCAGAAAAACTTCCATGTTTCGAAACTTCCGGGCTCTCAAATGGCGCACCTTAAATTTGAGGTAGTTTGCTAGTTGGTAACTTCAACGTACGACGTAAGTTTTCGTAGGTCAAGACTTCGTCCCTGTATGCTGTTGCACATTTTTATAGCACGAAAGAAAATATTAATCGACAACGTGCTATGCATTGATTCCCACCACGCCTCGGGTGTGTCCGGATACCTACATGTCTTCGTCAATTTTGCAAGGGGAAACAGCTCGATACAATAGAGAAGAAACTCTACTGAAATCGAAGGCAACGCTTCAAGATGGTATGTATCGGCTGGAGTGAACTGCTCAAGCAAGAAACAATTCCACAACAAGCAACTGTTGGACTGCCTGTAAAGTTAGGTCAAATCAAATTCGGCCTTAGGTTAACAATCCAGTTTCTCGTACTTTGATCTGGATATTGAGTCTTATGCAAAATTGTTTACTAGCTATAACGTACTAAATTCATCCGTAACATCCGAAGTCGCATCAACGAAGCTAGCGGTTCTGTGTAGGCTGACTAGTGTTTCTCTGGGCCAGGCACAGGAATTGACGAAACGTCACACGGGCAGTGAAACCGCCTTTAAACTTCTAAGAGCTAGTATCGACAAGCCCGTCAAACTACTCAACACGGTAGGAGAACAGATAACTGACATAAACAGGAAGACAGCCTTTTGAAAAGCATGTACACGGTGCCGAACACGATCCATGAACAGTGCCATCGTAACCTGCTATACTGCATGAACAAGCGTATCCGATGCACAAGGCACTGGAAGTGGAATGCCGTATGTTGAAGGAATAGCTTCAGTCGAACGAAGCGGCAGGGTTGGACCTGATCCGCGATGAACATTTGAAGTGTGTTTGACTTGATATGCTTGCTTACAACAGGGAACGTTTACTAGCAAGCTGGAGTGTCGTCCTACAAAGTGTCACATTTAGAGGAAAAGCGATCTGTGCAACTAACTCATCTTCATCAAAAAAAAAGCTGCCAGTCCCGAATTTTTGACTCATCTAGCCACACGCCGGCCGATGACGTTGCTAGAAGTATTAGGTGTCCCGGGCTGAAGAAGTTTCGGGCAGGACCATCAGCACTGTGTTATATAGCGCTTCAGAAGGCACATCGTACCTGCTTCAAGCCAGAAGCAGCGCTCTTTGCTTCGCTCGTGGATTTTAAGCCAGCGTTTGATATAAGTGTCAGAAATATTATCTTAGTAAAGCTTGCAGGATGTGGAATTACACAAAACATGCTGCATTTGATCAGAACGATACTGCAAGAGAACTTGAGAGAGTGTATAGAGAACTACTCTGTATAGAGTAGTTCTGCTAGAATTACTTATCCTGTCAACTGGCGTTGCACAATAATAACTCAAGACCACTGTTGTTTGCGCCGGCATTGTATAATCCGTAGTTTTGTGTTTAAGATACGAGATGCTAGTTAGGTAAAGATTTTGCTTTATACTGGTCATCTTATCGTCTTTAAATCTAGCCGATTTGTTTTCCAGGAAGTTTTCACAAAGCTGGCGATGTACGTGGAGAAGCTTGGATTATTGATTAACAGACAAAACAGAGACCATTAAGTTCCGCCATTGTGGCCGCCTTGCTGCATTATATATGATGAACGTGAATAGCTTTGAATCTCTAGGAATGATCTTGCCTTCAGTCGCTTAGACCTCGTACGTTCCAAGACAAGTGCACTTGTCTCGAAATCAGGGCCTCACCCCTTGCCTCTCATGGAATCAGTTTTCAATGACACTATCCATCAACAGGAAGACTAGACGGAATCAATGTTTTCAAAGCGTGGGGTTACATAGTTCACTATCGCGCGGATATGTGTATCTTCTGAGAGGAACGTCCCTGTTTGTAGAAAATCTTTGACACAAATTCAACATAAATCCCTATTTTTGTTTCACAAAGGCGATAAAGTGTTAAGTGGACTGAGGCAGCCGACACAGTTACACGTTTTGCAGCACATGAAGTTCATCATCACATCCTTTGCGCGATAGCAGGCTTTTATTCGCCAGGTGCAGTACGTCTTAAGTACCATATGGCCTGGTATGTGGCAATACCCGGACTAGGCAGTCTCACTGATCAAGCACACCAGTCGTACGATTTTGTGATCCTGAAATTTTCAAGTTTTAACTTTAGGGCTTTGGTGTATTGAACGAATGTCTGATAATATTATATTCAAATTCATCTATCCACACACAATTCAACTGCACTTACAGTATAAAGTTAAGTATGTGTTGTTTATAAAACACAAATAAATATTGAACTATCACATAATACAAACCATTTTTGTATTCAACTGTCCGTATCTTCATACATAAAATGCAAGACCCGTATCATAACGGGAGCCATTTATTATGTTGGCATGGCAATCCCTTACCAATACTTTTATAGTGGTGTCCTAATTTACCTGAAAATTTGCTGAAATACCACATATTTTTCACGCACTTCGTTTCTGTTCTTTCATAAAATCGCCACTGTCGCTATCGGTGTTTAGTAGGCTGATTGGAATCACATCACCTCTAGTTTATCTCGCTTTTCAGCATACCAGATGACTTCCTGTTTCGCTAAATAATTCCAACGCTTTTCAAAAACTATCAAAATTACGTTGTTTTTCCCAATAGTAAATTTTACATTTAACCTTGAAAAATGTAGCGTTGTATTTCGTCTGCTACTTAACTGACAAATTTGTCGCCTTCGAACATTTACCGGCTGATTTTCGTACGAGCCACACCGACGCTGAAGTGATCCAGCCGGGTACGCATTTGCTGCCTAATTACGATGTTTTCACAAGGGGGCGGTTTCGTTTTTAAGTATGGCCTCTTCCATTCGATTATTTAGCTCATATACAGAGTTTTTACAATTAATCATCACATTGAATCATATAATATAAGTTAACTAAGTGTACCGAGTACAATTTTGATTTTATTGTGCTTCATAGAGATCTCCAACAGTAGTATTAAACTAGTCATCACTACAACAGCCTTTCAACTGTCGTTAACCACTTTCATAATATCGAGATGCTAATTGTTGTTAGAACGAGCTTTGCCTCTAAGGTTTTACGTCTTCGTCAACTCGGTAGAGGTGTGAATGTGGGTGGGTGTGGGTGGGTGTGTACCGTTGTAGCATTTTTGCTGCAATCGCCCGAAGTGCGTGTTTGATAGTGGTATTATTCAACGTCAAGAAAAAAAAGTTTCATAAACGAGATGATAAGAAAAAAGTTAGTAGAAGTGGTTTGATAGTGTCTTTCCAGCTAGGTATACTATTCCTACTATGTGTTTTCTACAGGATAAGCCATACGTTTATTTGAATAAGAGTTAAAACCTCAGATGCCTAGCAAGCTCTCCCCCAAGGAATATGGGGAAGTACTTTCGACACAGAACAATGTTAAGGCTGAGATTACTAAGAGCACCAATAGTACTGCATCTGGCGACTCCAGCGGCGGCGGCGGCAAAGTGCCACTAGATTGCAACGGCGTCGTGAGTAGTAGCGGCAAGCCATGTATTAAGGAAGAACCGAATATTAATGAGGACGACGAATCAACGAAGGACAACGACGTCAAAGTGGTTGCCGTGTCTACAAATACCAGGAGCGGACGTATTAGTATGAGGCTACGCTTAAAGAAGGAGAAGGTTGATACCTCGCCGTCTCCACCACAAACAAAGAGGTCTCGACGTTCCGCGGCAAAGGGAAACAAAGCAGCGACGACTTCCCGTACTGATGAACCTATAGAAGTAGGGTCGACAGAAATTAAAGTTGAAACCTCAGATGATGCGGCGGCAACGACCGAAAATAATGAACTTGTATCGGATGTCGTTCAAGTAGATATTCTTGATGAAGAAAATAGACGAGGTTTACCTCAGAAAGAAGCTTCTAGAGGACATCATAATCCGACAACGAACAAGACATCATCTTCACGGGGGAAGGGGACTAAGAACGCCACTTGTACTACCCCTACTGATAGGGATCGCGAAAATAGTGAGTCGGAAGACCTGGATGAAATCGACAAAGATGATCCCCCATGGAAACCATCGGTAGAAAGAAGAAGACCTGAGTCTAACGTAGACAGGAATTTGGACCAAGCGGTAGAAGGCTTGATAAAAGACTACAGTGTAATAGATGAAAGCTCAGTCCAGCAAAGCCAAGCATGCTTTCCATCGCCCCAAGCGAGCTCTTCATTGACAAGCGACGTCTGTTCATCTACCAGAGATTCTATTCCACCGCAACAAGAACACGTTTCGCTGGAGTTCGAAGGTATTGTCGCTGTGCCAGTTGAATCCACAAAATGTATCCTCTGTATGGCACTTTTCAAGACAACGGGCGAACTCAAAGCCCATATGGAAATCGTACATGCGAAAGGCCGAAGACAAGCAAAGACTCGTGTCACCCCCGTCGAGGAAACAGATTCGCGGAAAAAAGCTCCGACGCCACTCGTAAGGTAGTCCATTTTGCTATTAGCTTACATCCCTCATAGGCTTCTAACGAACGACGTGCTGGGTCGGAAAACTTCGTCCATTATTTGAATCTTAGCTTATATACACTAGGTATATTTTTCTAAAACAGATAAAGGCGTGTGCATTTGTAGTTAATTATCTCGTTTAATTTCCTCGGGCGAGTCTAGGGAGGGTGCAGAAGCTAAACCTCGTCGTAGAAAGCCACGTCAGGCAGGGAACCTTGGTCATCACGAATGTCATTTCTGCCACAAGAGATTTCAACAAATGGGTCACCTACGAAATCACGTTAGATTACATACAGGTATTGTGCTAGATCTGATACGTTTAACAGCTCTAACCGTTTTATTGTGCAAGCAACTTCTTATTCGGCAACGTTATAACGATACATTGTTGTTATTGAATTGCTTAACGCTGATTGACATTAGTAATTTACTTATTATTTCTGATCAGGCAATTGACCATCTTGCAGTAATCCGTAGTTAAAATCGTCCATCCAGGCAGCAGTCTCAATTATTTCGCGAACTCTTTTTTTAAGGCGAGAGACCGTTTGTCTGCGATATGTGCGGAAAGGAGTTCTCTCAGTCAGGTCACTTAGTATCGCATATCAATTCTCATACTAATACGAGGCCATACGAGTGTCAATACTGTCAAAAGCGTTTCACTCAAAGTGGACACTTACGAAACCACGAACGTCTTCATCTAGGTGGGTTACTATGTTAGGCTATGAGGAACGATATTGTTATAGGTCCTAGCTAGCCAGCAGATGTCTGTCTAATAAGTTAGTTACTGTTACTAATTAGTGCGCCAATTTAGCAAAAAATATATCACCACAGTAAAATTATACTTAGATTTTTACATTGATTTCAGTTTGTCGCTTAGCGATTCTTGCCATATTACAAGCAACAAGCGGCTTGAGCTTGTGGCGGAAAAGATTTTAACGAAAAATGGTAATTTATAGGAAGTGAGGAGCTAAACGAAAACGCAAAAACAAGTAGTAACAATGTGTAGCCTTCTGTGAAAGATCTAATAACCGTTTAGCGTGCATAATGTAAAATTAGGTGTTCGACCATATCAGTGTGCACAATGTGGGAAATCGTTTACGCAGTCTGGGCACCTCGTAAATCATTTGCGTCTACATGATGGTGAAAAGCCGTTCGGGTGTCCGTTTTGTGGGAAGCGATTTACTCAGTCTGGTCATCTGTCTACCCACGTGAAAACACATAATGAAGGACGTGGCCATGAGTGCAATATATGCTTCAAACGATTTGCTCAGGTGAGCTCGTTGGATCATTGCCGTTCGTCTGAGCACTGCTTTTTGTTCTGAAATATCTTCAACCTCGTTTTAACTATTTTACGTCTTTTTCTGCCGTTTGAAGTTCCTATGGCTATTATTTATATTAAATTAAAATAAGAGAAAACGCACATTACGACATCCTACGATAGGATAGGACAGAACTAAGTCATCGTGGATGATGAATAGTGACGTAGCGCTAGAAACAATGATTACATATTCCCCAACAGGAGCTGAAGCAGCGTTTTTTGACCTTTATACAGGCAAGTCACCTCGAGGAACACAGTCGAATCCATAGCGATTTACGCACTTACGTCTGCGCATTCACTGCATGCTCAGCACGGTTTTCAACCGGAGCGCTGCTTAGCGTGCACGTACAGTTACACGAACAAACCGGACAGCATGTTGAAAAGCGGGGCCGGACTCGTGAACGTCAAAATTGTCCTCCAGCCACAAGCGCCCCGCAGTCGTATCTTCCGGATAACATCACACCATTGGTAATGGAAAATATTATTCCACCTTTGAGAAACGTATTGGATTTATTAGACGATTGAATTGTTAGACGATGACTGCAAAAGTACTATAATATCGATGACGAAACCTTTCTGGTAAAGTAACGTAAGAAATACATGCGATTTATTTTGAGTAGGTTCGGCACCCAGTCATTGTTCGTGTTGGTCGTGATCACGTCGATAACGATGAGGTAATAATGCCACTATGTGTTGTTTATGCTAGTGGGCCAAAGGACCGCGTTTTTTTTTACAAAGCTATTCTCGCTGCGTCACTCGTTTGAAGAGTCTCTCCTAATATAGTAACGTTTTTTCTACAGACGTATTAACGTTTCAGTTGTTACTTTCCCAGCAGGAGGATAGGGGGCGCATGTCGTTTGTGAGCGGTAATGAGGACGCTGCGTTCGTTCAAGCCGTCATGGCTCCAGGTGTCGAAGTTGAGCTGTTGGGTGAACAAGTCGAACTTTAGTTAGTGGGTGGAACTAGCTTATACTTTTATCAAGCAGAAGCGGCAGTAGCTGATGTTCGGACGGCTCCGAAGATTTTTTCGGCAGTTACCAACATTCAGTTGCTCAATTCGGTGCAAATCTTAGAGCTCGTGGTTGTATAGAGCGCAATACTATAGCGGCATATAGTTTTACGTATTTTTATTGTAATAAAACAGATGGATTTGAGCTTACATATCATCTCGATTCTGATTGATGTCGAAAAGAAGCTATTCCTATTTCCGGAGAATAATAAACCCTTGCGTACGTAAATCGTAAGACGACAATCAGCGTTTGTAACCATTATACAGTTGCATATTCTGTCCGTAATGTGAAACAATTAACTGTTTGATTTTCATTGGGACATACAGGAGCAAATACCTTTTACTCAGTGAGTGTTTCTTTTGTATTCAAATGACCTAGATATTCGAAGGAATTATGTAACAGTCGGATTTGACATTTCCGAACTAGAGCCTTACTGCGTATGTCTCATCCGATGTAAGCGAGTTGCGGCAAAAAAACTGGTCTGTTCACCGTTTGTGGAGGTCATTTATGGGAGTCGTTGGTAGAGCAACGAGGTTGATCTTAGAAAAACTGAATCCAGTATGTTGGTCCAAGTGAATAAATAGTTTGCTTTCTGCAATATACTTAGTGCGATACGATTCTGTTCAAGAAACAAATCTGGATCGTGCCAAAAAAACATATATGTTATGACGGCAGCTGAACGAGCCGTAGTGTAATATGCAAGGTAACACAAGAGCTTTACTCTTATGTTCTTCAATATGTACATGCTGAAACTTACCATTTATTATTAACAAAAAAATGACCTACAACTCAATAATGCTTCAGTCGATGAAATATTAGAAATGACTTTTTTTTTTTGTGAATTACTCTCACTGAAATAAATACATTTTTTATATTTAATCATACCGAATTTTTCTTATTTGCTTCTACCAGATTACGTATAAAAAATATTTTGCAGATCTTCCAAGTCAAACCTAGATTTAGAATAGGACATTGTTTCACGTAACTCTACTACCACACCGGAATTGCCCTTTCTTTCGATTTCGGAAAAGCATGCACCCCCATGAATTTAATGGGCCCGTTAGGGACCAATTGAATTCTTTTTCCTAGACTCAAAGTAGTAGGCACCGTTTGTCATTGAATGAGTTTAGGAACAAAGGACACGTCCCATAGTGTGCAACACAATAGTACATGCTATGTACTAGGCAAATAAATTCAGCGTCGATTTTAGTTTTCTGGTAAATATGAGAGTAGATTTCCATATAACGTACGAGTATCGCGGAATATTCTCGGTTACAAGGTACACTTCGCTAGTGCAATTCTAGGCAGCGTCATGGTTGTTGATCCGGGAAAATCTATTTTACATAACCCAGTTCTGAAACAACAAACAAAAGCATTCACTTCATCAAATTAAATCTCATTCGTATTTACTGGAAGTAGTAAAAGGTCAATAATACAGTATCTCAATATCAGAAGGCTATAGTTAATATGGTAGGGGTCTAATTGAGTTTACAAAATTTAAGACGACTATATTAAAAAATCACGCACGACAGCTATCACATTTGGAGCACCTTGCTGTACCTTCAGGTTTGCGGAAACCTAGTTTGTTGTAGAGAGCATCTTGAAACCTATACATGCCAAAGTGAATGACGATGTCTGTTTATCCGATCCCTTTCATTTCATTCAGCTGTTTCTCTCTCACCCACAAAGTAAAAAGAATCTCCCAATTGCTAACATTCGTTTTGAAGGCTTCCATTGCTGAGAGTTCAAAGTGAGGATGTAGGCTCTCAGACAACGGTGGCGAATCAGCTAGGAAATACGCGACGCCAACTACGCGTCATTGTTTCTTCCCAGTGCTCTTTTGAATGAAAAAAACACTGCTTTGACAAGGTTTAATTAGCTTCCTTAAGGTCTTGGACGGTAAGATTTTTTTTCCATACGTTGCAAGCGGAAATATGTGAAGTCGAGAACGGCTGCGAAGGATAACCAAGCTGATCGCCCATGTGGTGGATGTGCGCAGTAATAACTCATTCCCTTTGCGGAAACGAGCAACCTTAAGTACAAAAACAAGAGGTACAAGGTGTCAGTTGCCGCTATCCTGCCTTCTTGTTTAAGCTCTGTCGGCTCCATCTGGATGATTTAGGTGACATTTATCGTCAATACCAAATCTATGAATGCGGCACGGAGTCTGCCTTGACCTTGCTTGGAGTCTGTTCGACACTTATATCACGTGGTCCTCTGCATACAAAATGACTTTCTCGGTCCTCATATTTGATCAGGGAAGCTTTCCATCGAGATGGGAACAAGAGTGAGGTTAGCGTTTCCCTGAGCCAGGCCAGTTGCCTCTGTGAAAGGCGAGAGTTCGGCGATATCGATGGTTACTGCAAGATAGCAGCGAGAACGTTAGGTACGCCTACATCGCCTTGGTCACCTCGAAATCTGCCTCTGTATTAGAGTAAATCGACACTCGGGCTATAAGATATGGGAGTAAGTACAATTTCAAAGGAAAGATCAGATTTTGAATTGTAGTGGTAATATGCCAATACCTATCCTAAAAAAACTACTTCAGGTAATATCACTGTGAATTCTCACAAACTTTGCATTTTCGCTTGTTGAGATAGCTTCATACGGAACATATATGCCCTAGCCTCAAAAACATTCTGCCCTAATAATTAGGCTAATAATAATAAGAATAATAATAATTTTTTTGAACAAAATGTTGTTATAGTGATAAATCAGAAATCTGTAGGGTAGTTGACGTATCTTGTTTCTTTGTTTCAGTGGAAGAGTGTGTGGGGTTCCCCGCAATATGTCATTTTTTTCTATTGGAATGATTGTATAGGTGTACACGCAAGCAGTAAGTTACCTAGAAAATACTGACAAACTGCTAAAGCTTATAGCCTAAGCGGTATCCAAATCTGCGAAAAGCTACTGTGGGAAATAGATGTGGCTCTGTCTGTGGAAGCATTTACTCCAACTAGCATGATATAACGATCTTTCCCCATTTCTAGTTAAACGGGGATAGTATCTTTTTCAAATTCTTGGATAAATAATGACGCTAAATATTGCTATCATTTCGTTCGGACCATCGAATATTAAAAACTAATATATATCTATATATATATAATCAGTTGGCGGCATTTGAAGCGGAACCCTTAGTTTTCAAGGGTCTTACAAATATACTAAGCAGCTGTAGAAACTTAAGCGGAGTTCTTGATAAAAGCAGGCCTGTTTTGTCGAATAGATTGCATACGATCCACAACTATGCAGATGAAGAAGTTTCTAATAGGTGAGCCTGATACGTACAGCGAAACTCACGAAAGACAATCGAAGTATTTTTTAATTTGGCGTATCGGCAAGATGAAAACATCCGGCAGCGTGAATCAAAACGTTGCGTCCACGTTGCCAGTGACGGGTAACCGTGGGGGTTGATTTTTCAATCGAACACGTTGACAAGTAGTAAATTTTTCCTATGCGTTTACTTTGTTCTCAGAAGGAGCTGTACGTCTGATGCCGCTAAGATATGTGATCTTTAAATTCTGCTTTATGCTATATTTTAGAAGGCGTCGTCGCTTACGGTACATTTCAGCGGGCTAATGCCTGATTGCCTACATAGGAAGTACAACCGAAAAAAATAGATACAAACTTATACGTCTTGCCCAAGTAAATTAATTACGTATACCCGGTTATAAGATTCATCATAACTTTTGCAGTATTTGCGGAAGGACAAACTGTCCTCCAAGTGCGAAATTATAACCACGTAATGAACATGAAACAATTAACTCTACCTCCAAAGTTGTTTAGCACTATGGAACGTACTGTCGGCCTCTGAGGTGGATGCTGTTATGTTGCGCAGTTAAACACAGTAAGCCGCTGCTACTCGACCTGAATACAATGGACCGCGACAAGAGGTTTTTTAGTTCCGTCCTAATAACTACAGAGTTTTCTTTGATGCGACAAACGATCTGATAAACGACGCAAAGCTGATATCAAATACTTTTGTTATTATCGTTCGATTCTAGATTGCTTTACCTTTATTTCGATGTTGACATTTGCTCTATTTAAGTGTTCATAAGTGGTAACTATCGCAGTAGATGTACTTCGAAGATATACCAAAGCTTAACAGTAAGATTTCCTCGACGCGTTGCGCAATGAGAAAATGATGTGCTTCTGTGAGCGCGTCAAACACATTTTCTGCTTTTTCCTGGAAAGCGCAATCCGTTAAAAGGATGTCAAGTAACCGACGTTTCGTTGTCCGCAGTCGCCGGCGATCTGCCGCCTCGAATGGTAGGTAAGAAGAGATAGGGCTTGACTGCCATTCTCAGACCAGGCTGTTGCCCGAGACAGTCAGACTGCTGCGATTTCAGCGCTTCGATGCAAGCCGTAGTCAACTGTAAATGCTCCCCAATGAACTGTGCTAACTAAAGAGGTGGCCACAGGACGTCCTCGAGAAGGTGTTTAAGGACACCGGCACGCTACGAAAACTTGTGTGAGTAGTAATCGACAACGAACTTGCGACGTTATGGGCTGTTTTACATTCGTAAAATTTCAATGAAGTATCATAGTCACCATGGAAAACATTTGTAAGCGGCGCGACATGCGTATCCAAGGAAAATAGTTTACATGATGATGAAAAACAAACCATGAAAGCGAAAACCCATCGAAAGTGCGAAACGCATGCTGAATAGCTCGGCAGCCCTTCGGAAGCTCTAATAGTTAATACTAAGCCTGGCTTGGCTGAAAATCCTACAAAAATCGTTACTTGTGCCTAACCTTAACGGTAAAAAGTATTACTGCTAAACTGCTAAAAAATCGATCTGATATCAATACGAAATTGACTGTTGGACTAAGGATTCCGTAAGCATTGACAATAATAAAACAGCAAACGTTTACGTAGTATGCACCGGATCGGTCCACGCGTAGATACAGAGCAGGGAGTTGGAATTCCTAAAAGTTCCTATCGAAAAACGTACAATACAGCCCAATAGCTAGTGTTACAGAAAAATATTAGTCTAGAAATGGTCACGATTTTTTTATTTCCATTGTTAATATGTAACTCATATAATCATATACCAAATCTCAGCAGTTGTCGTCATCTTTCATAACGTAAGTTAATTAACCAACTATCACGTCTTATGAAATCATGCCTTAAAGACACTAACTCTATAGAATACAATATTGTGTTCGAATCGCCGTTGACTATTATGTTGTACGTTGGCCGCTAAAGCGGTAGTTGCGCAATAGTTATTATCGCAGAAGGCGACCAACATTTGTATTTTTAACGATAGAATCTAAACGATTAGTCCTCTTGTCCTCAAGCAACTTGACGCACGAAAAGTGTCCTGTCTTTCCCAGTATTTCTATCGTAGCATTCGATGCATCGACTGCGATTGAAAATACGTTCTCCATAGAAGAAGTCGGCCGAAGTTGGGTCATTTACGCTAAGTGGCAACAGGTTCCTTTAAAATAGATCAGGTAGCTGCGAATCGGTTTTTCTACTCCAAAATTCTCCACGGTACGTCCAACGTTCTTCACCGATTTTTTCGAACCAGAGAGGCTTCCACTCAATTCCTGCATCCGTTCGGGCCTTACGCGCTGCCCGCTGTTTCTCTTCCAAACGATATTTTTCTTCCGCCGCCCCTTCTATGCACAGAACACCAGACGAGACAATGATTTGAGAATGCAATATCAAGCTGGAATTGATGATATCCCTTTAATATTTGTAAATTTTATTCACACATGCAAACATTTATCATTTTTGGTAAATTTCTGCTCATCACGTGCTAATATATGGGTAATTTTTCTCGTTATGTTCACATCACTAAAAGCGGAAAACGCAGAAATAAGTCAACAGTATTTTACATACCAACGTCCCCCTTCTCAAGTTTGCGTATGTCCAACCTGAAGCGGCTATCAGTCCGTGCAGGCGCTGTTAAATCTGCCATTTTGCAGGCTAAGACGGAAGATGGCTTCAAAGGTGCTCCTTCATGTTTAGTGACGGTAGTCTTTTGGGCCGTTTTTGCTGGCATTTCATTTAGAGCCATTGCCATTGACGTAAAATTGTAATACTCCCCAGAGTTGGCAGGGCGCGGTTCCGCGCGCCAAATGGGAACGCGGCAATTATCCGAAAAAAAAAGCTCCTTCGCCCAATATCCAGAAAGTTTTAACAGTTCCTTGCCTCCTGCATCCAACATCTCTCTGTAAAAAGCAGAGACACAACCAGATCGAAGTAATTTACTACGCTCAAAGTAGAGAACACAGTATCAGGTAGTGCATCAAACGAAACGTTCGCTAAGGGCCTTAGTTAATTATGTATTGCTTTTTGGGCGTGTAAAACACCATCGTGAATAATAAAGCGCCGTTCTGAACTTGATCCTAGGCTAGAAGGTAAGCTGCCTCAAGTATCGTAAGTGATCTAGACTTGCTCGGTTAAACTATTCACTGATCTCGATTTGTACAACCAGAGTTCAGAATCGCATTCAAGTTTTTTTTTAAGTTTTATAATTTGTGGGTAGTAACTACACGTAGTCAGTCCCAAATATGTACCAAATTTTCACTTACATGGGTGTAATCAACCGTAAATGCAGGTAAATCAAACAGGTGCCTTACCCTTCTATTTTGTGCATGTCTTCGGTCGTTTTAGATGAAAGGTAGCGTATCTGACATCGGAGTCCGGTACGCTTGCAATCGACCACCTGTTCTCCACATTGTTCTAAATATAGTTTTCCTATCAGGATGTTGTGTATACGGCAGTCCACATTATTCCACTTATATATTTCATTGGCTCTCTTTAAAAAGCGCACGGAAATCGAGCCTAAAGATCGGAAAACCGTTATTTTGTCTGTATATATAGTCTAATTTAGGTCCTAAAATATTAGGCGAAACAAGTTATTCTAACGACTAATATCACAAAGGCTGCGAACGAACTTTGCCTAAATCCAAAAGAATACCGCTTCTGATTAACAATAGACTCGGGCTAGAGAGGAAAAGCTTACGTATGTTCACTTAACGTTGTATTATTGCCAATGATATACATGTACCTGAATAATATTGGAATCAAATACGTTGATATTTCTAAAACAAAAAAATAATTGTCTTTTGTTTTGTTTTTTTTTTTTGATTTAGTTTGCTTTTGGGATCGTTGACGCAAAAGGAAGGTTATAGAAATGGATGATTTCGAACGTAGGCTGTCTGTTGAGGTTGACCGAAATCTATATTGTTTATATATCTGTATTGGTGTCAATTTTAATCAATTTAATTCACATTAATATCCATATTATCTTCCATTCCTTGCTGCAGAACATCTTTTCAATTTGGAAATTATTCGAAATTTGTATTCACTGCTAAACTAGGGAAGCCAGTAAAGCAAATAAACTTACCATGAGGCTTTATCTCAACACTTTTTCCCCAGAAAGTGAGGCGAGGATTGATATTGCAGTCGATTTCGTACGTCCCTCGGCAGCTTTCAGCATATAAAGCTGAAATAGGCGGGTGATGCGATACCTGTTCGCATACCAGACGAAAACAGCCGCTCGCCTCGTTGCTTCTACGTAAAAACGTATGTAAAAATAAATTGATTTTGGAGTACCACTATGGCCATTGGTTTTTAAAAAGGCAACAGATGACGTCCCAACTCTCGGGCAGTAAAGAGAAATAGGACGGCCAGCTTGTGCATATAAGCTGCCGCGAACATAATAGAGCAGCATTGAATGCGGAACGGTAAATCATACGACCACATATACGCCAAGTCTCTGGCTTTTGGAACGGAGATGCCTTCAAGCTAAAAAATTTCCCTTAACGATTTTCCAGCAGAAAGGCAGCAACAATTACAAATCCAAATGATGACAGTCATGATCTAAGAGCATAATAGAACGGTCACCATTGACGTTCATACAATATTAGCGACAAAATCAACCTACTTATACTGATGAAGTAATTCACGCTCGGAAAACTGTTTCCTCCTTGCTCTTCAGGCCACATAACTTCGTTAATGTCAAGCACAAATATCTGCTGACTGTCGATGACGCTAAGTCTGTGTTTTGATAGAGTTTCTTCCCGCCAGAGAAGAACGTCTACCATGAACGTTTATAAGAGATATCCATATGAGGAATTAAATGTTTTAGCTTAAATTACGATAGCAGAATGGAATCTAATTATTAAAGCTGTACTCCGCCACAAGCACACTTTAATGATCCAATATGTGCAGTTGCCTGTGGAAATTTCTAGTAATGATTCGAAAGCTGCACCTTACGTTTTCATTGTGCTCGGTCTTAAACTGAAACTATAATACATTTCACAACAATCAATTAGCCTCAGATAATTATCTAGTTTCTTATTTACTTGCTTCGAAATTCCTCTCACTGGGTTGAGTGGCCGATATCGTAAACGAAAGTAGCCCAGAGCATGTCCATCAGATTCGTTAACAACAAACGGAGTAGCAACGCCAGGGCTGGGGCAGCAGATAAAATGTTACCTTTTAACATCTTAAAGGCAAGCACGTGTATATTTTATCAACAGAAGACAGTCTGTTCGAGGAACAGACTCATCCGCGGAGGCTCTTGGCTTCTGCTGAACCTTGTCCCCAGAGCGTCATTCCGAATGATTTGATCTCTGCGAGGTATTTTCAAACACTTCCATTACGTATCTCAACAGCATAGATAACGAAAATAAGATCCAGTAGCCTTTTCCATACGTTCAAGAACAATCTATACGTTACCAGCATCTCTGGTAGGTGAAATAGCATAGATATTCTATCTGTTCAGTCGTTCCGAAATAACTGTACAACGTTCTTAGTAACATCAAATGACAGCTAAACACTAGCAATTGCCTAGGCCATAGGTGGAATGGTGGCTAAAGTCAATTTCAGCTAAATGGTGCGTTCGAATTGACGAAAAAAATCCACGAAGATCTTCCTGATGCCAATGGAGGGTCATGCATTTAAATATTGGGTGGCTGAGAGGTTGAGCTCGCGCACGCCATGATTTAAAGTGCCTAAAGGGGCTTCTGAGCCTTTCCAGGCGGAGTTGTGACATCTTGCCGATTATGAACACTAGGTAGAACTTACCGACGCTATAGTAATTTATAATGAAAGTTGTGCGTAGTTTTGCCAAAAATATTGCTTTAAAGCATTTTATTTTAGTGTGTGTTAATTTTCCATCGGTTTACACGTGTATATGTGAATGCGGCCAAACAAGACTATTCAAATCCACTTTTTCACACGCTCGAATATACTATTTAACTGAATAATAATCCAACAGCCACTATGGAAGTGATGCCGATTTGTATGCCACTCGTTAAGGAGCAATCAATACAGAACCCTAATAATGATGCAGTGTTTCCTTTTCCACTTTGAAATTATTCGGACAGTAGTGCAGTTAGAACGCAGCTTGAAAGGAAGAGTAGAATCTACATAAATGGAGTATATTAATAAAGGCTCACCTGTTGAGCTCATAGGTTTCACCGAGAATTGGATTAAAGGGTTTCCGAAGCCTTTCGAGGTTTGAGCTCAGACTAGCCACTGCAAACGCTGTAACAAACTGCATACGACGTACGGGATCGTTCTCCGCTGCTGCTTGTTCCAGCAAATCCGAGTACTCCATTATCTCGGCTAATCGTTGAAGGAAACTTAATGGCTCATTAATTTCCACAGGCATAGCCAGTCGATATAACTCCTGTGGAAATATACACGTAATGTATTATTGAGCCGACAGCAAGAAAGTTGTTCAGAGACAAACAGTTGTTAAATCGTTGTGTTGTTACCTTTCCGCAACACTTTTTGAGTATCGACCATAACGAAAGTCGATATTCTATCTGGGGATGAGGCAAGCGATCGCGCCCCCACTTCGTTCCTTTTTCTGCATTGTCCAGGGGCTTTACATTTGAGTTGGCAGGCATCGCCGAAGGACCCGCCCACGGAGTACCGGAATAACTATCGAATTCATCACAACTCTCCAATTTTACCGATTCTGTCGTCTCACCACCCGTTGACATTGCTGGAGATTGTCTAGGGCAGTACAACATCACAATGTTAGTTAGTGCTATGCAACGCTTCCTCTCAATTCTATCTACGGTTATTTGGCTAGTTCGCCTCATATTTTTTCGTCTTATCTAGAACAATTTCCTACTATCTTGGACCAGGCTAATCCTAGTTCACGTGGTGTAGCGCTAGACTGACGTATTTTTACGTTACACTCAATGCAAGTTAGCTGCACAGGCCGTTTGCAGTTAGTATGCATTCAGTCAGTTGACTCTGACCGAATGCCAAATGACAAAAGCGAATTTGGTTTGGCTAAAAATGTAACGAATAAATGGTGGAAAAATAACGCGCATTTGTAACGTATAGAAAACCTTTTTGTTAGGTGTTTTTTTTTTTTTTTCCAGCCTACACAGCTTTCTATGCCCTAGTACGTGAGTGTTCTTGACACATTCAGTTACGTGATGTATTTAGAACTTGGCGACCGTGGATTCTCATCGACAGTTGGTCATCACAAAACTTTTGCCCTGTAGCCAGCGTAATCATCCTTATGCAATGGCACTGTTATGTAACTGTTTAGGTAAGTTACCATAGGTTGATATGTATGACTAATTATGATCGTAGTACGTGTTACTTGAGAATTTTTAATAATACCCTTAGTAAAGAGCTATTTACCATCATCGATACGTTTCTGAACCAACTCACCGCTCTGTCTGTGTAAGCCATGGCCAAACCTATTTCTATACTACCTGTGAATCGGCCATGTAGTATAAGTATAGAGGCCAGAGGCCTTCACTTCATTGAGATAGCTGTATCTCAGATAACGTTGCTCGTTACGCATAACATGGAGAAAAATCACAAACATCCGAGTGTTGGCTTTTAGCTATCTTCTGTATTGTAGTCGGGTCCGATTTGCGTCGGTGTCCTACAGACATTATAAAACGGTAAATGAATCCATTTCGATCTTCTGCCCGTAGTCGATGTTACAGTAACTAAGTGGTTCCGTACTGCTATTAAGCAACACTTCAGATGGTCTTGCAATGACTATATTATATAAAGACTTCAGAGAACTGAAAAAAGCAAACGCGTCACTAGGTATAGCTGCGAAAAGATGCTTGTATTGGACATCGTTCCTGTCATCAACGCTCATTGTCACTGTCATTGTGGGTTCCTTTCTCTACTCCATCAGTACGTCGTCACTTAAACGACCGCGCAAATGGCTATCCGCATTTTTTATGTGGTTATGACTACTCAATGATAGAGTAAATCAATTTAGATAGTTAGATGATAAAATCCAATATTTTCATGAATGCACGTGGCTAGAGTACGCATTTACGTGTGAAACGTTAACTATAGTATAGATTACAGTACAAATTCGGAGGGGGGACAAGGTCAGTCCTTTCGGCTCATGGGCAGACTATACATTTTGCGTACTTACAAATTCGGTTCTCGCAATGGTTTTAGGTATAATAGAGCGTCTAGTTCTTAGTTTTATTAGACTTAAGTTGGCCTCTTGCCGTTGGTCCAGAGTTTGAGCATTGACATTACAAGACAAACTTGATAGGGAGCGAATGCGCGTAAGTGTTAGTTTTAGTATCGAAAAAGCAGCATTACTGAAGTTTTTGTAAGATATTTTTCACTTCAGTTCACTTCAGATAATATTGTTTGTTTTTTAGAGTGAGGTTCCTATACAGCGGGACAGCATAGGGGTCTACATGAACGAAGTGATCTGTACAGGCGAATATTTGCCATGTATATATCATGGATTTAACACAATGTGTTAGTTAAAATTTACCTGACCGCTAACGTTATACAAATCTCCTACGAATACAACCCTGTAAAACACGTCATATAGAACATTGTCTTCCAAGATGGAACAGCTCGTTGAAGATTGCTTTTCATTCCACCGCATTAACAAACAACTCCGCCAGCTGTTTCTTTAAATGTCAGTAAAGTCGGTGTTAAAAAATATGGAAGGTAGTGTTTTTTGTGTGCGATGCAAAGGAGAATCAGGAAAGCCGTGAGATGATCTGTGGATAACATTGCCACTCAAAAGATCATTGTAATAACCGCAATAGTTGCAAAGCATACGTCCGCAGACCGCAGCATAATCAACTGGCCGATATAGGTTCACATATGATCGCATTGCATGTTTTATAAGCTCAACCCTAATTGAAACGACAATACGAATAAGGGAATCATTGATATAGGTAGGCTGAATACTCGGACTATAGCATATTGTGTGAGTATTTTTAAGTCGATAATGTCCCATTCCGTCTCAAATCCTCTGATTTGAGGCTCAATGGGACTGCTTATATTGAGCACAACAAAGGAAACGGATGACCCTGAGAGCCCCAGACAATGCATAAAAAAAAATCACGTTTTTGAACCCTACGTCAAGAATGTCAATCGGTCAGATACATGTCAAATAATTTTACTGTATAATAGGTAATTGACAAAGTGTGTACACGTTAATTTTTCACAGTTTACTGCCTATCGTTTAATTACGTTCTGATGATTTTCGGGTAAATTGTGTGATTTCTGTAGGGGCAATTTGGAATACTTATTACTTTCCAAAAGAGCTTACCTCCATCCTAGATGAGGTCGAAACCTTGTTAAGAAAGCCCGTAACCATTTCAGCATCGCTTCCACTATTAGCTTTTGATAGACTACTACCAGTCAATCTCTTATCAATCACCCTAGCTTCGGTGAGCTATTGATGAGATCGAAAAATAGGATAAACGCGTCAACCATCGGAGGGCTCTGTCATGTAACCAAAAACGCGAAATGTACACCCACGTAATTTTAGGTATTCTTTTCCGCCAAGCGTCATCTACACATAAAGATGTTCAATCGGATGTCGATTTTGTTATGTGATGGGCCACGCTCACATTTTACGTTTCCTTTCGGAGTTCATTCAAAACTCTTTCGGTGTAGTCAGTACTTCTTATCGCTGCAATACCGCTAGTGATCTAAAGCAATACTTAAATAACCATAAGCAATTACAGATCGACTTCGATGTTTTTACCCATTAAAAAGAGCCTCGAAGTTCGATTGATTGTCGCTTACGCTAATTATGACTTCGTTCTCTCCATTAGGGACTAATCTTTATGATGGCGATGGTAATAGAAAATCGAGTTCTTATGTTTTTTTTTTTTCTGTTTTTTTTGCTTTAGGTTCAGCTTCAGTAATCGTTAACTGATTTCTTTGAAAGCTGATATTTTTAAAATTTTTACGGTAGTCACGTATAGTTTGCAGAACTTTGTGATGATAATATTTCGTTTAAAATAAAAGTAAAACTCGTAAAAAAGATTACGTTGAAAGGACTAAAGGAGAAGTTATTAAGCGTTTCAACAATCCGTATTTACTATCAATTGTTGACTGTTTGTTTTGTTTCGTTTCGTTTCAGAATCATTTTTGATTATTCGTCTTTTAAATAGTTGAAAATATATTCTGGCAGTGATCACTGGCCATTCATTGAGCCTTATGCGAAGGACCTGTGACAGCGACAAATCAGAAGCTAGCCTAAGTCTTTTATTATTTTTCAACGTTATTTTATCTTTGGCTAGTTGTATTCTTTTAACCAATAACTAGGACAAATGGCGATAATCGACAACTCCGATAAAGGGCAGCAGCAGCGGCAGCAGCAGCAATGGGAGAAACTTCCACTTTCAATCGCACACTTTGTTGATTTGTATTAATTTTATTGATCTAATTAACATAAGATGTTATTAAAGTACAAACAGAAAAAAGATGTTTGCATCGAAAATTTCTAGCGCTTTTACACGCTTTGAATTTTTCTAGCTTGTTCTATAGTGCTGTACGTATTTGGTGAGAATTATGATCAAGGTTTTCATCTAGCTGAGTCGATGACCATTGTCGAAAGGCTTAATTGAAGCAATGCTTAACGGCAGCACTTTTAATGGCAGGACATTAAATTCGAGCCACTCGAAAATCAAGGGTTCCATACACATCGTATTCAGCATAAATCGATTCTGATTGCCGACTAAGATTCGTTTGTTAAGAACTGAATAATCTTGAAACATCAGAAACGACCAAATCGTACGCTATCAATTCCTTTTAAGATTAGTGACTTGCGAATAGTAACGGTCAACAAGCGGAAAACTTGCACCCATCCTAGCAACGTCTTCGCATTTAACTCCACTTAGCCAGTGGGGCTCCAGTTGTCAAAGAATAAATTATGTGTGCCTATGAAAAAATAGTGATCGACCGTGCATGTAAACGTTGCGGTGCTGCATTCGACACAGTCTCACCTCTAGCTTTGTTGTATCAAGGCAGAACGTTTCGACTCTTACCGCCGGTAGAAGCAAACGATATGTGTCTACACCACAACTCGTGCACATACCGCCACGCGTGCCTCCGGTTTTCAATCGGATACGTTAGCCACTACTAACCTCGTGAGCTCGTATCTACCTAACCATATATATCATGATTCAGCCTTGAGAAAACCACTGTTTCCGTTTGCTTTTTGACTTCCGGGATATACTTTCTTCGTCCTTTCAAACCTTTACAATCGCAGTGCCTTTACGTTGAGCCTTAAATTAAACTATATTGCCTAGATGGTATTCTTTGTCAGTTAAGGTCGATAGAACTATTAGTGTATAGCTACATTTAATGAGTCGTTTGCGTCATCCACATTAGCACGTAAAGCTTAATATAGGTGTCGATTGATAAGTGTCAGCGTACCTCTTTAGATGCTCATATGGTAAGACAACAGATATTTCACATTTTTACGCAGTTGAGTGAATACATGGGCTTATCTCTAACTATTAGTTAGCGAAGACATAGTAGACAGAAGATTGTAGAAATTAACAATAACATTTCGATTAAGGCCAATGTAAAATTGAATCAGAAGTTTGAATATCCGGGATTACGGAGATGTAAAACGTTTGCCTACTGAGAGGGCATTTTAAACTAAAAACCATGGTAATTCATTAACTTCCTCAGGTAAGTGTTCGTATGTGTATTGAGCAAACATTTTGTGTACACTTGAATAAGTAATAGGCCCTATCTGTGAATTCTGAAACAAATTAGTCATCTACTATTTGCATTCCATGTAGCGTAATGGATTGGAAAAGTGTAGAATAAACAATAATTATTGGAATAAATAACTACAAACTCGGGAAGTTTGTTGCCTCAATTTCCGCTTGATTGGACCGTATCTCTCGAGTTTTACTTGTGGTTACCGTTCCAAGCAGATCCGACGCATACAGAAATGACGTACATTCTGCGTAGTCGAAGAAATGTGTCAGGACTTCGAATATCAGGAAGTAATTATGGATTGGTAGGCGTATTAGACGGCACTGCTCAGAACGTCCGACCGCGAGTTCTACGAACACGCTAATTCAAATACCAGGAGCACCTTCGCATCCTCAGAACCCCAATCGAACGAAGCACTGCGTCGTTCCTGACGACTCATAAATGCCTGTAAGCATAAAGCGGTCCAACACTATGGAACTCGAAGGTCCGTGCGCGTTGCCAAACACCGTTAACAAGCTTGAGTTTGAAATGCTATCCCGTACAAAACAGAGCTCGCAGTGGAGTGAATCGCCAAGTAAATGTAACGTGTGGTGGCACTACCATCTGTCTTCAATGTCGACCGTCACAGTAACAAATGACCAACTGACAATAATGCTAGACCAGCAAAAACTTTATAGTGAAATTATAAACTACGTCACCTATTTTGTGGATCTTGTAAGATAGCCAAAAAATGGTCAGATAAAATAAAAAATACCGTTGGTTGGACGACAACGGTGATTATTTAATTATTTTTTATTACCCTAATTCCCACGAAAATTAGCAGGTGAACAGCCAGAAGTGAGGGTACCACACAAAACATTAATTTAAAAAAGACGGTACTCATTGCGGTTGTCAGAATGGAAAAGTGTGTTTTTGTCTATCTACTGAAGAAGAGTTCAGTGCCGTATCATCTATCGTCAAAGATTGAAACCAGCTAGACCTTTCAAGGAGCAGGAACATTTCTAAACAAGAACAAGCAGCCTGTCTACGTAATTCTACATGCTGGCTATAATGAATGTGGGAATTTAGAAAAAAAAAATCAGTTTCCAGCTAGTGTAGCAAAACTCGCAGCTGTCTTAAAAATGCGACCGAGACAATGCGTGCACAGCGCGTCTCAGAGAGTAGAGGTTGGCATTCGTATTTCGCTGCAGAAAACACAGCAGAGCTTGTTAGAGAGGCGCAGCAAGAAGAATAGTAGTCTTTTTAAAACAGCGAAGTCCGAGTAATTCCACCTCTGAAGTGAGACAACGCAAAATAGAATATAGAAACGGGCGCGGATGTCATGAAAGGCCGCGGGCAGGGGTAGCCATAAAGACCGGTCGTAGCAAACGCCTAATTGCCAAGGCGCTCAAAAAATCAACAGCAAGATCGTAGGCCACAAAAGGCAAATCACCGATCAGACAGGCAATGGACAGCAGAAAGGACGAGCGACGCAGTACCCCGAATCTTTCTTTGCGACCCAACACCACCCTCTAAGCGATCTCATTCCAGGCGCTTTTCAGTGTCTGGGTATAAAGCAAGCTAAAAATACTCCGGAAAGACACAGCACAACAAGACTTAAGATAGTTAAAATAAGTTTTGCGAAAGCATCTCTTCTTCGCTACCCATATTGTCTAGATCCGCCCTGCTAACGATCGATGTTCTAATAGTAGTACAGATGTGAGCCATTTCTTCATTCAAATCGCTGAATTAATAAACTACAATTTATTTCACCTTCCATGTCAGCAACAGCCAACGGAAGTATAGCCACATGTTATAATCACCGCCTGAGCACAATGTAACTGGTTTCCATAAAAGATAATTGTTCAGTAAAAAAGCGATGGATGTTCATCCACCGGTGTTGGAAAGGGACAACGAAGTGGTATGAAAGTTGGTCAAACGCTGTAGACTCAAAAGTAAAAAACCCAACGATCGTTGCCGATGATTCCAATGTTAAAATCGACAGGTCATAACTGTGTTTCATGAGAAGGCAGAAGACAGGTCTATATACCATGATAGATTCCGGTACCCCAGTTTTGGTACTGGGTCTACATGGTACGATTTTCAACCGCCTCATATATCTGTTGACGGAGATTACAGCGCTTATAGAAGATATGCAAAAAAAAAACGTCCAGTCTTCCAGAAAACGTAGCGCGTCACGAGAAAATTGGTTGAAGTATATCCTTCACTTTGCTCAATCATACGTAGCAGCAACTGGATACAGGTGAACAAGGAGCAATTCATACGGTTTATTAGAGTGTGTGTGTATTTTGTGTATCGTGAAGCGTATATGAAATGTCACGAACACGTTTGTATGTAAGTTTTATAAAGTTATTTATTCTAGATATCGATCCGACGCGTGTAGCCTACTTACGTCAATTTAATTCAAAACCTAAACATTTTATATATTCTGTTTGCAATTATAAGCGAAATTAGTATTAATAATAAACGTTGTGAATCCACGTGCTGCTTTATTGTTAATGCTCGACTGTAAACTAAAAAAAAAAAATTAAGTACTTTCGTTTACTTTTTAACTGGCCTCTCTTTTTTTCTCTTCCATTGCCCAGCTTTAATCCAATGGTTACGCTTTATCAAAATTCTAAAGACTTGAACCTAAAATTATATGCTACAGTAGATGAAGCTGCTTGCAGGAACGATATCTTATGAATATATATTAATTAATGAATTCAGATTCCTCAGCTGATCACGACTAGAGAATGGTAAAAGTGTCGTGATCGAACTCGCACCGTAATGAATATTGCGGACGTTATAACACGGCCTCGCAGACAAAGCTAGACTGTGTCGTCAGTCCCTAAGGTTAGTAGGCAAATACGTTACGCAGCGCACCATTACACAGGCAATAATGTAAACCTATATTATCTCAATTGAAACTAAAACCGTTCTTACTAACAACACTTGAAGCATATATAATAAATCGTTTAGTGTAATCTAAAGAATGCCTCCTTATTATCTGTAGATAGTGAGAAGGGCCGCAGCCAGTTTCATTGCATTAGACAAGTAATAAGATGATGGAAATAAACAGAGAGAATTAAGATTAGTT